GGTTAGATCCAGGAGATGGAAAGCACTGAGTAGAGCTCGTCGAACTGGTTCAAACGAGCGCAAGCACAATATTGTGTGGGGAGAATTGGAGTCGCCACAGAGGGCAAAGCTAGAGACGAGTTAAAGTGCGGCCGCACCGACTGAAGACACTCAGAGTGTTCAGTGGAAGCTACAGGCGACTATGTAGCGGCCTTATATTTGTCTCCCAGGTACTGAGCGACCCAAGCCACGTATGCTGTCACGTACTGAAACGCAGTCGGAAAACCAGCCTCAAGGGCAATACCCTGAAAGGGAGTTAACAACACAGTCGTCTACATTGTCGACAAAATTACTCCCTCCGAGTCTACCAACCCAGCAACGGTCTTCCAAAGTCAGTTGCCTGTGCCCCCACCTTAGCTATTTGAAGAAAGCGACTGGATATTGGATGGAACGCTCTACACTTTGTTCCTTGAACGGGTATATTCTAACTAGCCACTATGGAAGTATGCCCCACAGTGAGGCTGGTAAATTTGTGCAGAGGGGTGAGCAATCCGCTTTTACTTGCTATAACTATTACTAATTACAAAATTATTTGCTTTTACCTGTACAATCTCACTTCCATAACCATCTCCCTTAACACAAATACTCAATCGTTTAGCCCACGCGTGATTTAGTTGGTTCACTTAGGTTCTACTTACATCACAATTTCTTCTATTACCAACCTACGGGACAAATTAAGCCTGAGCTATTTTACCCGTTATAAACCATTGTTCCATTGTTCTGATTGGTCCACGGTCTATCGGTAACTCGACCATTCCTTTCGCCCCAGGTTTCAGCCACCATCACAAACAGCCATGGCGATTTTTGAAGGAACATACCCCTTGATTGTTTCCACTGACGCTTAGGTTTGATGCTACACTATCCGAAATCCAGAACAGGCATGAATGGGTTATTGCCTACGTTTCCCGAATATGATCTGCAGTGAAGCCCTCACTCAGTCAAGCTAGATTTGTTGACAGTTGATTTCATCATCTTTGCTGCATACTTGCTGAACCTCTTTTGTGGGGTAGCTGCAGATCTAACGCTTACTTTGTAGTCCTGTATGTGAAGTACGTTTTCAACTTTTAGTGGATCATGTATAGTCATATTCCAAATTTCTTGAAATTTGGCTATACCAAGTTAGGGGACTTTGTAAGCGGCTTTAGTTTTGTTTCCCCTTAAGAACCCATGATCGAGTCTATCTGTCATTCAAATGGGCCTTTAGTAAGATCCGCTGTGAACATCACATGCAGGGGGTAAGCAACTGGCGTGCTGAATTTTATACAATGAGAACAAAGACAGTCAATTAGTCCCGCTTCATTTCGTTAGATGGGGATATCTAATAGTTTGTGACAATTTCATTGAGGCTTCTCTATGCTACAATACTATACGATGCGCAACATAGCACTGATACCTTCACCTGGATTGATGAGGAAAGGTCCGCAAACAAACTGCCAGGTCCAAACAACAGTTTGACCACCGAATTCGAATAGTTTCTCTTTTCAATAGAGTGGTGACACAGGAGAAGTCACCATGCATGGATTTTAACCCGCATCCGCTGCTCAACTTATAGATCAACCTTTAGCGCACCTACTTGTCAGCCCTTTGAATGACACTGTTGAGAAGCGCGGCACAGTTACAAGTACAATCTACCAGACCCTGGACACCGTTATGCAATGGGGCTGGCCATTCCGGCTTCCGCAAATTCAAAACGATACTTTGCTCATTATAAGGCGAAGTCACTTAAATCAGGCTATCCTAGATTTGCTCAGAAGCGATGACACTTGCATACACCGCTTGTCCTCTCAGCGAGCATTATGGTAATACCAGTATACCTGCATTGATTGAACGATAAGAGCCCCATCGGTTAGATTAGCTGTCGTACCAAGTCATAAGTAAGCAATGTGAGCTAATGGCTAGTCCTGTCGAGAGGTTGCCTCGGAGCTGCTATTTGTCTAAGTATTGGAAGGTGACTGTCGTCTGTCTAGCTTTTAAGACTGCATTAAGCATGTTTCCATGAAGTACAGACCAATTAGTGTAACAACTATTTTGTTCAAGCTGTTAAAAGCTGACAAAGGATGCATTCGAGAATCGATTGAAAGCACTTGGCTTGCTCAGTCTTTATAAACACGACTTCCTTATAGGCCGTTCCTACTTGTACAATCTGCTGGCCACGTGCAAAAACTGCGCAAATGCTGTGGATCAGGGCCAAGCAGTGGACCAGGTGTTCCTAAACTTTCGAAACATCAGATCACATCCCACAGTGTCGTCTACCCTTGAACCTTCAGTCCTGTGATATATCTGAGCATGCACTAAAACGGGTAGCAACCGTTCAGGAGGATAGAGGGAGGTTCATTCGAGCGAGGTCCATTATATTATTTCGACAGTCGATTCTTAATGCTATTCCACAGAGATCGGTGCTTGGGCACTGTTGTTTACCCGGCATTTAAATTAGCCGCTCACCGTGTTAGGCATACTGTTCCTCATACTCACTTGCTATTCTGGTACCCAGTGATCAACACCTATGCTCCTCAAGGTTTTGCGTAGGGATTCAAATAAACTTTGGCACTGGTCTATTCTGGATCGCAGTTCATTAATTAAGTGCTCAGCCTTACATCTAGGACTGGTTGATCCCCAGTGCGTTACTGGCGGGTTGACCTAGGTGTTGTTTTGTCATCCAATATCAACTCTCGTGCGAACTTACATAAATCCGCCCGTAAAGATATCAAAACGCTGGGATGATCATTCGGAATCTGCATAGTAGAAATGTTAATCAGATTTTTCGCAGCTTTCGCTGTGCTGACCTGGGACACTGTTCATGTTTGTCCATTATGCTTGGTCCGTGATAGGTCGACAATAGATCAAATCATGTGGTGTAATAACAAAATGTATCAAAGGTCACTATAGCTATGATATCCCGCAGGGTCACTTAAGCCCAGAATATTTTGGCAGTATTTTCGGCAACACTAATGCAACTTAGGTCTACTCTATCAAGAATCTACGCAGTCACTGTCAAGGGTCTACGAAAGCACTCGTGCCTGCGAAGCCTCGGGTTGCTGGGAATTTTCCTCGGACACTTCCGAATCTCGTTCGGTGTGCCCATATCAGTATGCAAAATAGTGAGTGACCCCAACTCCTTATGCCTCCGTTTGCTGTAATTTAGCCACTACACCAAGTTCAAAGATAACTGCCTGAAACTGAGTGAAGCATCCAGCCATATAGACTGTTGACAGAATTACTTTCTTTTCGGGTTTCGATAAGCTTGGAACTTTATCCCAAACTCAGTTATATCCTCCCTAGTTTGGACTTTTACAAAAAAACGGTTCGATGTTGTTCTTCACTCCCAGCACATTGTTACTTAGACAGCGCTATTGTGGGTCGCAGTAACCATGCTCTTCTGTTAGATTCATGTTACATGAGTCAAAGAAGTCGGCGCCTGCGAGAGCGACCACGTTTACAACAACGATCATTGCATCCCGGTATCCCTCTATAGGTTTGCATTTTATTTTTTATTCACACTACCATTCTTCATCAACGCATTTAACTCGGCAGATGTTCGGTAGAGGACTCATATACCTTTTCTTTTCATTCTATTCACCTCAACTATCCTACCGGACTTGTCAGACACTTGATTTTTAACCCGTGATAAATCATGGTTCATTGTTCATTGCGTATGACAGGGAAGATCGCATACAGTTTGACTTGGATTTTCCTACTGACTGAATTAGTATCTCTCCGCAGTCATTGGATGACGTTGTATAAATCCCTAGCTGGTGAGCTTTGTACCGACGTCCGGCAAGTGGAATATATTGCCTGAAGAAGCGGCATCTTCATGAGTTATGAGAAATAGAACATCAATCCGACCCACTTGGCCTGCAGTTTCTTAGTTCTCCTTCCACATCCTAGCTTATAGTCCCACTTGCTTGCACTCATTTACGTCTCTGTTTCTTTTGTGTTAGTGCCGAGTAGTCGTTACATTCGTATTTCCCTTCCTCACTTCAAGCTACAGGCGTAATGAGAGACGGCTAGTGCATGTTGACAATGGCGGAATTCAGGGTTATTGCATTGGCTTTTCTATACTACAGATATTACCCTGGATCAATGATGCACTCAGGAACGAAGCTCCAGGAAATTTTCCCATTGTTCCAGTCCTATTTGAACTTCAAACTGAAATTATTTACTATCCAAGCTCTTCCCTTTGATAGTAAAGATAAGCGACTGATCTCTCAAGTTCCTACAACAGATTCGGAGATGACACAAGCAGCAACTCATTAAGTTCATACATATCGACTCTCCTAGCAGAAACATTACAAGTGTATTTCTCTGGTAAGAAGGTGCTTTGATATCTCACCCCTTGAAGTGCTGTCGCAGCGAACTGCCTGTGACCCGAAAATATTTATGTGAGTGTTGTGAACCGTCTCACAAACCTATGGAACATCCTCACATGCATAAACGGCATAGGTGCCAACACTACGAGACTTCAGTTTGTGACCGTTCGGAGCGAGGTAGGTGCCATAATTTAAACGTCCGGATGTTAATCCGGAGTGCAGATTCATAAGTCATGGCGTTGATTGACTTGACACGTTCACCGTCTGAAGTACAGCATCACAGAGCTGATGCATGACCAGTGTTCCGTTCCAAGCAGTTAACGATGATCCATCTATGTAGCATTATTACTCTATCTATGTACAGAGAAATTGTTTTGGAGGCTTGCATTGTTAATATTTTTCTCAGTTTAGTAATCCCTGATTTACACTAACCACCAATGCATCATCTAGCCACTTCTCCCACAAAATCGGTGTTCATCCGCATTGGCCGGGATGCTGGCAACTGGTCTGTCTGACCATCTATCGATTGATGTTTTAGCGCCCAACCGAGTCAGCTTTCCGGCCATACGGTAGTCAAAGGAGATGGACTGATGAACCGCCTTAATTCGAATGTGTTTCGTCGGATAATTATCCTCGCACAGATTAACCGCGCTTTTAAGCACTTTTTGGAATCATTTTCTGATCATATGCCACCGAACTGATATGAAAAGACAAAATGTGCGTACTTTATCCCTACTTGTGGTGACTTTTACTTACTTGCTTTTGGGAGCTGCTATTTTTGACGCTTTTGAATCTACTTTTGAAATCGATGAGGAGTCACGCTTGAGCATACTGGCAAAAGAGTTACGCTTAAAGTATAATATGTCCAAAAATGATTTTGATCACATAACGCAACTGGGAATACAGATGAAGCCGTACAAAGCCGGCACACAATGGAAATTCGCTGGTGCATTTTATTTTTCTACCACAGTCATAACCACGATTGGTGAGTTTTAATGAAAGTTTTGTATGTTAAATAACTTACGTTCAATAACAAAGCGCTTTGATGAGTACTCACCCCTAGCATTTCAGTGCACACTCGAGAAGATTTTGGTTGGTTAGGCAAAGATATTCTACCATCAGAGTCGCTGATGTAAGACATCCACCTGTACCCAATTTGCACCACCGGTATGAGTCAGTCTGACTGGCTCCTCTGGAGGTTCAACAAAAAACCTTATCGTTATTGCTAACGGCAACAAATGTCTATCAAGAAGCGTATGTCACTGGGGCTTATTCGTGTGCTAGTTCCGTTTTGACAAGTCACCCAAGTTTGCCAGTCATGTACTGTAGCGAACTGTAGATTACAGCGGAAACACAGAAATTCCCAAATACCCCCGGTCGAACCATCTTTCCCCAGTAGTAATCGTCCTTGTATCATAGTCACGGCGTAAGCAATACATGGCCAGTTAAAGGATCTAATAAAGCAAATTCTATACTTTTTCCTTACCATGAGGAGGAAACGAATTTCCAAACTATTTGTATAGACTTTGTGTGTTAGTGGGCAAATGGGAAGGTTTATCTGGAATATACCTTACCGCACAAAGTGTCTTTTAGTGCATGGCTGAGAGTCATCAGCATTTTGACGAGTTATTCACGACAGACTTTGGCCCAGGTTCGGGAAACTTGTGACCAGCTCCTCAGCCGACTCTTTAAGTGAACTGTATGAGATGTGGCGATAAAGTTCAATGGTTAGCAACAGACCTTTGTCGGACTCAGGCCCAATTCTCGCTTCCAATGGAGACCCAACTAAGTTTGTCCGCTAGGGATGTCATTCTACCCGAGAAGGAGCATGCCATTCAGCATCTAGAGTCGGAGCTGTAATGGTGGTAGGTAGCGAGATGTGTGACGGCTTCAGTGTTGTCTCACGGTCATTTGTCCGGATCAATGTTCCATATGCAGTATCTCTGAGCCTCATACGCTGCAACTTGATGAATCATGTTGTCTTGACATGCATTAGGCAACATTGTTGCCCAAATAGATGCTGTTGCGAATAAAGCACTTGCGCCCGAGTTCTTGCATTAATGTTATTTGCAACATGCGCTTGATCCTTTGCGATGGTAGTGATTAAAGTTTTATTGCGCTTTACCTGTTAAGACCACTCTATGGAGCATCCTGTAAGGCACTGGACAAACAGGAACACGTTTATGTGCACCAAGAAATCACACAATCGCATTACTATAGGCCCCATTAAGCATGCACTGTCACCAAATATAAACAGCACCTAGGGGTTAATAATGAACATCATGACGCAAGATACAACCGTGTGTTCAGCGTATCAGCCACGCCAGTTTTACCTACCGTGGCATGGTCACCAGTGAACAGCTACGCATCATAGCTAGTTGGCTGGTGGCCACGTGTTTGCTATCCTGTATGTTTCTATCCCGTGTGCGCGTACCAATTCACCTGTTGATTCACACAACGGCGAAAACAAGTATGTGAAACGATCAAGCAATTTGTGTGATTTGTACCTAACCGATGTAGCTAGCAGCGAGTCAATCCCTTTATGCTGATAAAACTCATACGCATTAAGGTGGGACGGAAAACGAAATAACTTATAACATGTTGTACCGGTAATAAAACTGATTACAGGCAATGCAGTACGTAGGCAAGCTTTAAGTTCGTCAGCCTCGTCTCTCAGAGGAATGCATGGTTTTACTAATGGGGTCAAACGGAATTACTTATAATTAATTACATTCCAACGATGGGGAGAAAGCAGAAATGAGACCACTGAAGATTCACAGGGAATTATACAATTTGATTGATACTGCTCACACAGCTGACTGAAAGTGAGTATCTGTTGAATTCATGCATTTCCAGAGAAAAGTCCCAATTGGGTAAGCTGTTTCCTGTCATTCAATACCCAGTGATCTGCTGATAAAAACCACGTATTCAGTTTAGAGGCAACTATAAAGCTGGGATCATCATCATCATCATCATCATCATCAGTAGCAGTACATCAGTCATTTGAACTGATGCTTCGTTGCCATCCAACCATGAGAACCTATGTAATAAAGAATAATAAGAGCGAGAGAATGGGGACTTACCTGAAAAGCTTAATGCCCTAAGCAAACATTCAGGGTCAAGGCGCCTACACCTTGTGTAGACAACATATCGTCGCAAACAGCTGGCTATCGTGTAAAGATAAGGCGGCATCTGCGAGACTTCCATGTGGCTTTCACGGCCACGCGTCATAATCAGCCATTACCCCGCAGATATCTCAGCACCAAACATACAGGCAATCCGTTTAGGAGACGCAGCAGACGCGCCACTGGAGTCGATTGCGGGCCATGTCCTGTAAAGTCTCGAGCCAAGCACAAGGTGAGTCATGTGGACTCCAGCCTGCAAGACAAGCCGGACCAAGGGCACCCAGTTTGGTCGTCAGCACCTTCATTTCCCGTTGCCAAGTCAACTTCTGTCCACCTCGAGCTTCGCGCCACCTTACATCTGGCAGACTAAACAAGGCCCTCCTAGGTAAGCGCTGACCAGGCATACGTAGCACGTGACCGAGCCAACGCAACTTATTCAGTGCTTTCTGTTGTTCTAGGGAGCTAGCATCATTATCACTACCTAGCGCAATGAATTTCTCTTCAAACAGTTGCTTGACGATCTGGTCACCGCAGAGGGAAATCAACGGTGCCCTATCTGCAGCATCTTACAGGGTAGATAGGGATTTGGATGCTACTGCTCAAGCCTTCCCATCTTCTTATTCACCATCTTACACTTTTTCTCTCTTACCGTACCGTTCCAGCTTCACTTTTATCCCCCTGGTTTCAACCACCCAATTCTTGGCCCTCCCCCACCTTGCTTTGCTAGGCTTATACCTTCCAATTTCAACTCACTTGTGAACGCGGAGCTACATTCCTGTCCTGTCGACAAGCCCATGTTCAACCAAGCGGCCAAGCCCAGTTCATCGACTTCCATTTGGAGCCCCCGATCATCCTTTGGATTGGCATGCCTCAATGTACGCACAGTTCTACAGATCGATTAACAGGCAACACTTGCTCGAACATTAGAGACCCTCTCGATCGATATCTGCTGCTTATCGGAGACGCGCCTGCAAGACTTGAGCTCTGTTCTCACTCTGCTATCCCCTTCAGGTGACACTAGCAGCACTTTCTCATTGCACCAACCCAGTGACGATGTAGCTTAGAATACCGGCCAAGCCGGTGTTGGTATCGCCCTGAGTCCCCGGGCTTAAGCTGCTCTGTTTGACCGCATTACAACCAGTCGCCGGATGTGTGCGGTCCGATTGGCTGGCTCGTTCAAAGCCTCAAAGTCGCGCGGGACTAACAGGTATCTATTCGTCATCGCTGCCTATGCACCCACAAACTCTAGCGATGATTTAGTAAAAGACGACTTCTATCGCTAATTGAACGAGCACCTTCGACACGAAAGAAGCCTGGACACTGTTGTGCTGGCTGGGGATCTGAACGCACAAGTTGGAAAGTTGTCCACTGATGAACTGCATCTGAGCGGCCAACATGGTGTAGGCTCCTGTCATGATAACGGTGAGCGGTTACTTCATTTGTGTGAAGATGCTTGCTTATTTCGTGCGAGAACTAATTTCCGACACTACACCCGCCGGAGGGTGACTTGGCGCCCACCAGCCTCGAATCAGCTATGGACGCAAATCGATCACATTGCGATAAGTTACCGATGGAGAGGCTGCATCCAGAACTGTCGCTCGATTTGGAGCACAAGTGTGGACACCGACCATGCACTTGTATGTGCAGACCTGCGGATGCGTTTTGGCGGGCGCCCAAGACGACGTTGTAAGCGCATTGACACCAGCCAACTGGCCAAACCAGCTGTTCTGAATGCATATCAAACTACGCTGTCATGCGAGCTGAGTAAGCGCTCACTGGATGCTGTTGAAGCTCACTGGTCTCATATTCACCAGTCCTTACTAGCAGCTGGAAAATCCTCACGTGCTAAGTCGAATCGCCAACATGGACATTGGGTCTCTTCGTAGTCTCTGGAACTTATCGATTCTCGCCGCAATATTCCGGCTGGAAGCGAACACAATGAAACTCGCAAAGAGCTCCAGGCAAAACTCCCTGCTAGCCTGAAGAGAGACCGCGAATCCTGGTGGTCTCATCGTGCATCAGAGATGGAAATGGCCGCTGCCCTTGGTAACCATCATAAATTATTCCGGCTGATACGGGAAACGGGCAACAGAAGACCTGATGTTAGTGAAACTATAGGTGACGGGAGTGCACAGTCTATCCACAACTTGTCAAAACGCTTGGGGCGTTGGGTTGAACACTTTGAAAGGAAATTTAATCGGTCGGAATTGTTAGATTTCTCGCCGGCCACCGCTCGCCCCGCTCCCTGGGCTGTCCGTGTGGATGGGCTCACTCGCTCAGAAGTCGAACGTGAGATCCGGCTGTTGAAGTTAAATAAAGCAGCTTTACCTGATTATTTACCTCCAGTCCTCTTCAAATTCGAGACACCTGCTCATGTGGATGATTTATACTAGTTACTGGTGAAACTGTGGAAGCAGGAAACTGTCCCAACCGACTGGAGCCGCTCCGTCATAGTCCCAATTTTCAAGGGGGCTCACGATCGGAATGCGACAATCATAGAGGAATCAGTACTCGCCTACCCACATCTTTGTTGCGGGAATGCTGATGCCATCCGACACCAGCAGCGCTCCGCAGACAACGATGATCAAAGACTTGAAGGCGCCTTAGATCTTCAGACCGAAGGGGCCAAGTCTCACTACCATAGAGCAGAACGGCCCTCACTGTGGCCTTGTATACACGGCCTTTCAGGCGGAAGGGAAATTCCCTTCTGTCGCCAAAGATGCCGCAGGTTCAAGAAGGCAGCTCTGGCCTTTGCAATGCGCGAGCTGACGTCAGTTTCTATGCGCCCCTCGTTGCTGATGCATGTGTCAAGATAAGTGAATTGATCAACCACTTCGAGTTCCTCGTTAACAAGGGTTAA